GATGCCGTCCTCAACTCCCAGGCGGGAACCCTAACCCTCCAGTCTGTTGGTCTGGGACTGAAAAACATTACGACCACCTGTAACCCTAACCCCAAGCCAGTAACTATTTTAATGTCATTCACTCTTTATGTTCTTCTCAAGGGACCACGTGGCTTCATCATCATCATCATCATCATCCTTGTGATCATCATGTCACAAAGGTACTGAGGGAGAGTCAGCTCAGTACAAAAGTAGAGAGTGACGACCAGCAGCACAAAGTGAGTTGAATATTAAATCTGAGTTTACAAGTTACCTAACCGTTTATTAACACTTAATTGTGTCAAGAGAATATCAAAGATTAAAAAAAGTCACATATTAAGTTAATGAGTTATACATTTCTGTCTGAATGTCTTTGTCTGCAGTCTGAAGACAAAAACTCCAGCAGCAACACGTTGTCCAGCAACTCGTGGAGCAGCAGCAGTGAGTTCAGACACTCTGAGCAGCAGGGCCTTACCTACATCGACGGGGCATCAACAGACAGTGGCATAGACTCCTTCTCCGGTATTCCCCTGGCCATGCCTCCTGTTTCTACGGCTACACTGGTCCTGCGAGACATCCAAGAGGAGGGACCAGATCGAGGACTGACCCAGAAAATCAACCTGACAGCTGATGGCGATCTGGGACACCTGAGTGAGAACTGCAGTCTGTCCAGGTGAGAGAAGATTTAAAAAAGCCTTCATCACCTGTCCAAGAAGCTCCTTACTGGAGGCCTTCGCACACTGGGGGTGTTTTTTTCAATATATTGAAATATATATAGAACTTTTTAACTGATTTTTCTGAGCTTTCGTATTGTGAATAAAAATATTAACTGGTTGGGAAACTTAAATACAAACTTAAACACACAATTTCTGAAAATTCTACCTTAAAATTTACCTTAAAATAACAGGTGAATGGTCTCTGACACCAGTTATCATATTGTGTAACTGGTTGATCCGTTTACAATTGTATGTTTGCTCAGCCTTAACTCCTGATGGACAGGAAGCTTTACTATTTGCTAAAATAATGGCTCACTGCTGGTAACTGTAGTTTTCATTAGTAAATTAGCTCAGTTAACCGAACTGTGTGCTACAAGAGTTTTAGACCACCGGGAGGAGGAAGTTTATAGGTCTGGGACGGAGAACGACGCTGGCGTCGTTGGGCGAATAGTCAATGCAAGTGGCCTCAGCAGCTTCTATGGACAGAGCTACTGTCAGAGGCTCAAAAGCAAAAAGGGAGAGTGAAAGTGGGACTGTCTGTTAGTGGTTGGATAAAGAGAGCTTGGTAAAATAAAAGGCGGCAGACAGACGACAAGCTGGAGTCAATAATATAAGTCAGTAATATTAGATGCTTGCTGTGTCTGCTGTTGTTGACCTTGTTAATGTCTGTGTTATAAAAGTTTTTGAGTAAGTAAGTAATGGAATGAGAACATTGTATAGCTGTCAATAGCTATTACCACAGTGGGATTGAACAAATACCAGATTTTACAGAGAGCTGGTTTGATGATCTCAGACTACATTTAAATAAATGTATTTTTTTTTATCTGTATTCTTTGTGAATCTTTCTATAATTTATCTGGTTAACTTTTCATTTATTTTCTGCTGTTTTTCGTTTTTGTTGCTTCAGAGGAGACAAGGACATGTCCCACCTGTCTGTACCTCTTAGATTGGTTACAATTGCTCTCACCTTGGGACCCACATTTTCACACTCATTGAAAGCACTTTAACAGAATTTAAACCAAGCACATTTATCCTTCCCTAACCCGAACACAATGTTGTCTTGAGCTTTTGTTAACGTAACATAGAGACAGATTTTCATTCCTGCAATCAGAGCACATTACTGTAATTGTAAACTATATACATATACACAACTGCTGCTGATTCTTATCAATACAATTAACATCATCTGTTGAAGCTATTCTGTCAAAGCAAAAGTCAGACATCAGAAGCTGAATTTAGAATCAATTTTTGTTTTACCACACACTGAATCCTGCAGTTGAGAAAGCATGTGTTATATCTTCTATCTGTTACCTGTTGGAGGGACAGTCTGTTTTTTTTCTTAAGTGGGGTTGTATTATCGCTGACAGTGAGTCTACCTACAGTACACGGCCCTCTAAAGAGACAGACAAAAATCTGTTTTTGTCTTTGAAGAGAGCAATATAACTGCTTCAGTTTCCCATCAGAAAGGACTGTCTGAGACTTTAAGTATAACGTAAAAGTGAGCCTTTTTTAGGTGTCTGTTTTGTTGCTGCCCTCATCCAAAGCAGTACATCACTGGTACTTCCTGTGTGCTTGGATCTGTCCTAGGTTTCTGTCTTTTAACAGGCAGTTTTTCCTTGCCCTTGGCCAAGTGCTTGCTCATGGTGGTACTGTTGGGTCTCTGTAAATAATGTTATAAAGAGTTCGATCTAGACCTGCTCTATTTGAAAAGTGGTCCTGAGATAACTTCTGTTATGAATTGCGCTATACAAATAAAATGAATTGAATTGAATTCTCCTGGCGTCTTATAGAGGTAACACACAGACTGTGGCTCAGCACGTAAAACACCTGGCATCTGTCCAATCAGATTTTTTACGATATGAAGAAGTTTGAAGAATTTCAGTTTGATTGACAGCAGAAAATCACTGAAACTCTTCATCCAGTTTTTCATCAATTATTTTCCTCCTGCTCATCCTGCTCCACCTCTTCAAGACTTCAGCTATGGCTGACCACAGATCTTCCGTTCAGCTGTCGTCCAATCAGAGAAGTCTTTGTTAGGATGATGCAGTCCGACATCACTGCAGGTGAGAAGGTGAGTCTGTTTCATTCTTTTATGTTAATTGATTATTAGTTCATCATCAACATCTTCATCCGCTTATCCGGGGGTCAGGTCGAGGGGTAAGCAGGTCCAACAGAAGACCCACAATTCCTTTCCCTGCCACATCGGCCAACTCTGACTGGGGGATCCTGAGGTGTTCCCAGGCCTGTGTGGAGATATAATCTCTCCATCTGCTCCTCGGCCTGCCCCGTGGCCTCCTCCCAGCTGGACGTGCGAGGGAGGTGTTCCTGGAGGCAGGATTAGAGAGACAGAGTGAAAGACAGACAGAGAGAGAGGGGTAAAGAGAGAGAGAGGGGTAAAGCGAGAAGGACAGAGAGACAACAACTTCAGTGTACATGGTCCAATCTCAATGAAACTTCACACGTTTGATAACAGTCCCGCCCTGAACACGTCTACGTGACAATATTCAGATATAGTGATAGCGCCACCTTCTGGCAACAGGAAGTAAG